GAACCGAGGCCCGAGTCACTGAATCCGAGAGACAGTTTTCATCTTTATTCGAAAAAGCAACGCCAGTCCGCTAACTCGATGATCATGGACAACCAAGATGAACCTAAAGAAGCCGCGGAATTATATGAATTCCTTTTCAACAACTACGACAGGAAATCAGCAAAACACGAGATGATGATGATAATGATGAAGCACCTCGCAGGTGCGGGCTTGAATGAATTCGAAATGAAATATTTTAAACCGACCGACTGGGCTGCGGAGCTCAAAGATGCACCTCTACGAACTTTTCTTCCAATTCTTCGTGCCTCGCAGGCAGACGACGATGGCGGCATGTGGAGTCGACTGGAAACGCTGCTAGTTCAGACCTACGGTCCGCGTGACTGGGAAAGCTTTCTAGCATCAGCCGATGCAGCCGATGCACCCGCAGCAGATGCGCCCGCAGCAGATGATGAACCCGCAGCAGATGATGAACCCGCAGCAGATGATGAACCCGCAGCAGATGATGAACCCGAAGGACGTGCACCCGGAGCAGATGCACCCGGAGCAGATGCACCCGGAGCAGATGCACACGGAGGAGCAGCAGCAGCAGCAGCAGCAGCAGCAGCAGCGGCTGCAGCAACAGCAGCAGCAGCAGATGATGATGCACCAGCAGAAGCAGGGTACGCGGATGCGGGCGCAATTGTCGAGCATGGGGATTCATTTGACAAGTTTAGCGTGGATGGTAGCTTGGATTTCGTCGACGATGTGGATGACATGGATGATCAACCAAAACCGCCAGAAGAACTCATCCCAATAGAAGACTCTTTTTGTTCTCCGGCACTAATTGAGTCTGCTATTAAGATGATTTCGGCTGACGGTTTAGCCGCAGCAAACAAATTAAGACAATTCGACGCAGGTGCGACTACTGGCCAAAGCAGCGCAATCGCTCCAGCTTTACCTGCTGACTTCATAAAAGACCTGAAGGACGAGTTTTCATGCGTGCACCAGGAGGCGGAGGACCTAAAAATAGGTTTCGGAGGCATGGGACGCTGCGTACAACTCAACACGAATTGCATTAATTCGTACGCAGGGGACTCCACTAAGCTGACACTCCAGGTCATGGATGGCTGGTTCAATAAAAATGCTTCTGCGTGTAATGCGCACGGCCGGCGCTTGCGATGCGCACAGGGCGATATCCATCAGTTTCGGGTCTTGGGCGCATGCGTAATCTTGTTCGTACTGGTAGATGAAGAAGGGCTCATATTTGACAGTCCCCACGAAACGCATCTGCTCGTGCAGGTGAAAGAGTCCCGGGAATTTGCCATCGTCAACTGGCATAGCTTGGAGAACCACTCCACTCGGCGCTGCTTTCCAGACTGGACAACAACAGGCCATAAAATATTAGAGGAATTAAGAACAAAGTTGAAATCAAAAGAATGCATGTTTTATTATCTTATACATATTAGATTTCTGACTTATAGGTAAAATGAGAGCCGTCTATGCCATGAAGAGTAAAAGCAATGCGAAACAAATTAAAGCAAAACGAGATGCGTTGGGAGAAGCAGGATACGCCTCTTTCATATCTACATACTCTAACGAAATGGAATGCAAATTACCAGGTGAACACAAGAGTTTCTTCTTATTCTTATTCTTACCACCAGGTGAACACAAGAGCAAACTCAAGCAAGCGGAAGAGGTGAACGACCTCATGTTATTAGAACGTCGACCCCGGCCGAGGATGTGCCGACAAGAATATAAAGAGCCACAGGAGGAATTTAGAGAAGTTTGGGAGACAGGAGCGGGCCCGCCATGGTCGGGCCGCCCGGGGGGCAGCGACGACGGCGCGAGCTGCGGCACGGGCTGGCTCTTGGGCTGCTTCTAATGCGCTCTAGATTAGGCCTGTGGTCGAGGGCGAAATGACGCTCCGCCGTGCCCGCGTTCGCAGTCCCTTTTCGGCCGCGGCGGGGGAGCAGAGGAGCCAGGATACCCCCTAGGATACCCGTAACGCAGTCTCACTCTGATCTGCTCCCTGTGCGCCCTGTCCGAAGCGCACATTTAAAAGTCGTCGAGCTGGATCGTCACGCCTTGACACGCCCGCTGAAGCGCAGACTCGACCTCCTTGTAGAGCACGCGCTGGATGGACAAGTGTAGCCACAGAGGGAACCTTACATAAAATCGGAGGATTTAGGAGGGTAGGTTAATGTTTCCCTTAACGGATTCTCGGCTGAACCTAACCACCTGCGGTGGGCACGGATTTTCAAGGTTTATGAACGGAATACATTTTATTTTATGTGTGTTGAATTTAAGTGTGGATAACACAGTGTAACCCGGATGTCACTCTTCTGGAAATCACCAAGGAGTTCATCACTTATGACTGGGATCACGGCAAGTGTCGCGAGGCAGTGGCAGCCATGGCAAAGGCTGGGGCTATCCTACGGCGGGTCGACTTGACCAACCTAACTCTGCTAGGAGGGAAAATGGACCGGGTCCGACTCACGTTCGAGTTCCATTCCTGGCGCCTTTACGTCGCCATTCCTCCTCCCACACCCTTTCCTCAAGACCAGGCCCCTTCTCCTTTCATCGGTGCCCTTAGAGCTGTTGGCGACATCCCCATGGGCCTGCGTCTACCAGG